GCATCAATTCCACAAAAAGAGGAAGCCAAGTACATTGGTCGAAATGAATATGCAACATAAAAATATAATGGTTGTTTGTGATTTTAACACGTGTTTTACATTTGTATGGGATGGTTGGGATGGGATTTCACATGACACACAAATTTTCATTGAAGCCTTACAGAGTCCAGATCTTAAATTTCCATATCCAACGGGTGGTTAGTATAGTTTTTTAGTAACGCAAGTTTTATGTTTTTAATACTTGTTTAAAACGAATAAAAAATGTTTGTTTTATTTATAGATAAATATTATGTTGTTGATTCCGGATATCCATGTTGGATTAAGTGTCTATGCCCATTACTATAATTGGTATGTACTTGACCCGAGAGTAGCATGGTCCATTTCGGGTTACCTTCGCCAGAATAATCTGATAGGATGGATATTGGAGAAAGATGTTATTTGTGATTTATTAATATATATTATAAGTATAATATATTAATTGAGAAATCATATTATTTAATTGGTATTGATCAAGAATTAATTTAGTGATCAAAAGAGACTAATTAAATTAACGAGGACTTATTAGGTAAATCAGTATTACATATAATTTGGACTAATGATCCATGTTGATTAGAATGGACTAAGATATAGTCCAAAGGGCTTATCATATGGATTCTAGGCCCAAGGAAGTGAATTAGGGTTTACAAGTTGAAACCCTAAGAATTCCACACTATAAATGTAAACCGTAATGCACCTAAAATTATGCTAATCATTCCTAGTTGAACCCTAGCCGATTTTGGTGCTTCATGAACCCTATCTCATATCCTCCACTTGTTCATGGTGTTTGTGACTTGTCTGAGGCATCACACTTGAGGTGCTAATCTCTTGAAAGGCAAAAATCCTACAAGCTACAACAAGAGGTAATTATCTAACTAGTTTTATGTTTTAAATATCTATGTTGTATGCTAGTTATAGGCTTAATGCTTTGGATGAATTTTGTTGCATGTATAACTATAGAAAGCTTTGATCAAAAGCATTAGAGTTGTATATGCACCATAGGAGTGTTATAGTACATAAAACCCAACAGTGATATCAGAGCCATGAGTGTTTTTTGTTATATTGATGCATTGGTTAATTATTCAAAGTTGAAAAAACTGAAAAATTGTTGTCTGGATATTGGACTCGACGAGTTGGGTTATTTAGTGATGAACTTGACGAGTCCAATATCCGACTCAACGAGTTGGATTATCTGTTGGCAGTTTTTTTTTTTTTGTTTTTTTTTTTTGCCAGAATTGGATTAGGATCATTACCTAAACTATTTTGTATCATAAAATTTCTTTTTTCTGATATGGTAATGACTATCCTCATCCAATTAGAAGATAATTTTCAAAATTTTAATATGATTATTAGTTTATATGATAAAGCTAATTATTTGTAATTTTTTGATTTGATATTATCTTGTCACATGAGTTGCATTAGGTCAAATTGGTTTAAAATTTTGATCTAAATGTTTGGAAGAGTTACAAAACTTATCTTCAAGTTTTGGAATTCAAAAGTTTTTTAAAAGGAGTTACAAAACTTGCCATCAAGTTTTGGAGTCAAAAGGTTTTGAAGAGTTACAAAACTTTTCTTCATGTGTTGAAATTTGAAAAGTCTCTTTTATAAAACATTGAATTCTAAAACATCTAGTAATTTGAAAAGATTTCAAAAGGTGCAACTATTGGTTTCATAACTTAAAAAATTAATTAAATAGTTTTAATTTTGAAATTTTATATTTTGAACCTTGATGTTTTGAATAGTTCAACTTACATCTTATGGACTTTATTAAATTAATTAAAGTGTTTAATTAAAAGAGAGTTAATAAATCCATGATGATATGGTTTAAGTTTAATTAAATTAAAAGTCTAATTTATTAATAGTTTAAACCATCTAGTATTTTAAATGTGAAAATACACCTTTATACTATATAAAAGTAAAAGTTTAATATATTATATATGTATAAGTAAAATGTCAGTTTTACTGTTAGTAGACCTCATTCACGAAGCTGGTATATAATGGGTGTTTAAGGAAGCGGCATATAAAATGACCGCCATTGGGTATCCATTATTACCCACCGCACTCTTGACTAGTGGATGGTCGTTAGTCGAATGAGTTTGATAGGACATTTAAATCTTCATTAAAAGTATAATGAAATATAAAGTAACTAAACCTTTTATAAATTCTCAATCTTAATTACTTTAGGAAAAATGTGAATTTAATGCTAACCCGAGAGTAACATGATCCATTTTGGGTTGCCTTCACTATAACAATCTAATAGGATGGATATTTGAGAAAGATGTTATTTGTGATTTATTAATATATTATAAGTATAATATATTAATTGAGAAATCATATTATTTAATTGGCATTGATCAAGAATTAATTTGGAATTAATTTAGTGATCAAAAGAGACTAACTAATTTAACGGGGACTGATTAGGTAAATCATTATTACATATAGTTTGGACTAATGATCTATGTTGATTAGAATGGACTAAGAGTTAATCAAAGGGGTTGTCATATGGATTCTAGGCCCAAGGAAGTGAATTAGGGTTTACAAGTTGAAACCCTAGGAATTTCACATTATAAATGTGACCCCTAATGCACCTAAAATTGTGCTAATGATTCCTAGTTGAACCCTAGCCGATTTTGGTGCTTCATGACCTCTCTCTCATATCCTCCACTTGTTCATGGTGTTTGTGACTTGTTTGAGGCATCACACTTGAGGTGCTAAGCTCTTGAAAGTCAAAATTTCTACAAGCTACAAGAAGAGTTAATTATCTAACTAGTTTTATGTTTCAAATATCTATGTTGTATGTTAGTTATAGGCTTCATGCTTTAGATGAATTTTGTTGCATGTATAACTAGAGAAAACTTAGATCCAAAACACTAGGGTTGTATGTGCACCATAGGAGTGTTATAGTACATAAAACCCATCATTCTAAGTACTAGAGCGTATCAAGCTCCATACAAAGGCTCAAATATTCGTTATCATTTACCGGATTTTCTACGTAGACACACAACTGCTATTCGTGAACCTCGTGGACCGAAAGTGAAATTTAACTGTGTCCACTCATCATTACGAAATATCATTGAACGAACTTTTGAAATGTGAAAAGCTAGATGGGCGCTATTAAGAGACATGCATGTTAATTATAAGTACAAGAACCAAGTGAGAATTGTGATAGCATCGATGGTGATCCATAACTATATTAGAAAGGTTGGTAGGTTTGATGAATAATTTAATAGGGCATAACAAGAATCCTACAATCCCATACAAGGTGGTACTAGTAGTGAAGCTTACGAAGAAGGTCCAAGTACACGTCGCACGAATGATGATGATTAGTATATGGCAACGATACGAGATATTATTGCACAATATATAATAACATTGTGGGGATGAATGTAATATGATGTTATCTATGCTATTTTTTATGAATTATTTACAATTTGTATTTTGCTTTTGTATGAACATAGTTTTAATATTACTATGGTCTAATAAAAAAATTAGAAATATTTTAAAAGAAATTTATATTTTATATTTTCTAATAAAATGTTTACAAAATTATAATATTCGTGTAAAAAAATTGTTTAGTTATTTTACATGTAAAAGTTAAGCTAAACATTTTCTAAAAACAACTTTTGACTTTTACTTTTCAAAAATTAATCCACACACATTTAAAAAAATCCCTTTTGCATTAAATCATTTTACAAAAAAATCACTTTACCAAAAAACTTTTAAAGTTAAAAAGTAATCCCAAAATCCTAGAACTCCATAACTTACATGCAAACAAAATTTAGACTTTATTATTATTATTATTATTATTTTATATAGGAGTAACCTATTTCATGTTTATATTATTTTTTTATATGATTAGACTTTATATTAGTGGACTTTTATATCTATCTATATATATATATATATATATATATATATATATATATATATATATATATATATATATATATATATATATATATATATATATATATATATATTCAACGAAATCTCAATACTCGTTTGAACATATAGTTTTGTTTTTTTTACCAATATGAATATACTGATGTAACCCTCTAATATTCAAGTTGCACTTATGAAAATGTAAGACTAAGTTATATATGTAAAAGAAGATCACAGATATATTCATTTCATTCCCAAATTCTATTTATCCCACATTTACTGATTTGCATAACAAATGAAGGCCCACCAAAACATCATTCATGAACAAATACATGTAGAACTTTTATTGCAAATGTTTTTCATTATTTGCAATGATAGAAATGAAACATGAATAAACCATAAATTGTCTAGCATCTCGACTCTCGACATCTTGATTTGGGATATTATTTGTTCTTATTACCATAAACACTCAACAAAATCTCACTTTTGAGATTCGGAGAGGAATGTTCAGTAAAAATAATAATTCTAAGCAAACCAGTAAATAAAATAAAAAAATTGTAAAGACGTAATAATAGATCGAAAGTTACATATTATGCTTTTAAATACTTATGATCTTCTAATATCTTATTTGAAAATTTTAGATCTCATTTTAGTAATACAGAGTTTATGATAGTATTCAATATATGAAGTCTACATAAAAAAAAAACAAAAAGAGAAGAGACAGTTGCCGTGGAAAATAGGGATGAGGTTTTGATTAAATTATTTGTATCTATTAAAATAAATAAATAAATAAAAGATAAATTTACTTCATTCCTGTAAAGCTTTTTCTACAACTTACACAAAAAATAATGATTTTCTACTAAAAATCATAAAGTTCGCATTAAACACTGCAAAATTATTAAATGATCTATGAAATTACCAAATACGTAATTTGTTTTTTAATAGTGTTAAATAGACTATTAAACTTTTTTTTATTTGTTCTAATTACATAATTAAAATGAATTTCAATCATGTAATTCAATCATATCGGACGTTATAATGGACATGATATCTAATTAAACAAATTATAAAATAACATATTTATGCCACCTAAGATTCAATATCATTTTTGTCGTTTGATAATTGATATCTACCCTATTGGTATAACATTAAGATTATATTTATAATATTACTAGTTGTTATTTATAACAAGGTGGTATAACATTAAGATTATATTTATAATATTACTAGTTGTTATTTATAACATAACCTTGGTACAAAATTACAAACTTACGTTGATCATGTGATTAAAGCATATTATAATATTATATAATTAGTGTACTTTTTCTAGTTTGCCCTAAAAAAGCATATAAAAATTAATTCAAATCAAAGATAAACGGGGTAAAATAGTAATTACAGAAAAAAACTCTCGAAGAGTGTAGTAAACAAATATATTCCACTGTCGTCTTCCTCGAGCATAAAAAGTCGGGGCGAAATCAGTCAAAGCATCCTTCGCTGCTCACACACGCATCTGTCACGTAAGCGGATTTCACTAACATACGCAGCAGCGATTCCCTTCTTCCTGCATCTCATTTTCAACAACAATGGTGAAGTACAGGTGGATGTTACTCGTATTGTCTCTGATATTGCTTGTAGAAATGCAGTTTTCTCCTGCAATGGCGGCTTTAGGTGAGCCCTTTCACGAACTTCTACACTTGATTACTAGTTTCACTCATGTTTCTGAGAATATTATTGGATTTCTGGTTTGAAATTGTTATTTTATCTGTGTTTTTTTGGTATGCTTCTATATCGGTTCGAAACTTTTAACGTTTGTGTTCCGGTTTATTCTCCGAGCATTTGAGCTGTAATTTTCTAAACTGCTGATCACTTTAACGCATTCTAGCTATGAATAGTTGAATACTCGTGATTATTCGTTAAAATGTGTAGATTTGTTATCTGGAATCAATGCGCAAGTGAGTAATTCCCAACCGGTTGAAAAAACTGAAAAACGATCTATACTCAGGTAGCGATCAGTTTTAGGGTTTTGAGTTCGCAGATAAGTCCGCCATGGCCGAATCTGGAAATGTGTGGAGCAGGTTTTGGTGTTAGAAAAAGTTACCGGAAAGAATCAGCCAGTTGTATTCCACAAATTACTAAAAGCTTCCGAAACAAGTTGTAATATGCATCTTAGAGCTATTTCCTGATAAAATATTCGACTCCTAATTTGATCAATCCAGTGTTCTCAACTTGTCGGTGCTTTTTTCCCCTTGCATTTATGTAAATATGTCTGTGGTTGGTGAATAGTGGTTTGGAGTAATTGAATCACAATGCTGTCCTCTGATCCTCTCTACTTCTATCAGTACCTAAACTAGGGGTTACATTATATATTCCTTTTAAGTACTATGAAAGACTTTCATATACGAGCATTAAAAGTTAAAACTGTGTATCATAACTATTTTCCTCCATTAAAGCAGGTTGCCCCTTGGACATAACAGGCTCAAATCTTACTCAAGCTGCCATCCTTTGTTCCAACACAGAATCGAGAGCAAGTTGTTGTCGCTACATCAATGCCCTTGTTGCAGTATCTGTTGTTCATTATGCAAATACAACCAGCAATTTAGGAGTCACTCCAGAATTATCCAAAATTTGCCTCCAAACCATATCTGAAACTTTAGAACTACACGGGATGACAAGAAACGCGACACTTTTCTGTGGATTTGGAACCAAAATTCCTGTAAATTATGAATGCCTTGGAAGAACAACTGTTAACCAGATGCTCGAATCTCCAAAATTCTCAAATGTCACTCTAAATTGCAAAGTCCCATTTGGAGAAAATGGTTGTAAAAAGTGTTTGAATTCTGGCATCTTGTTTATAAGAAACCTAGTGGGAACAGGAGACAATACAACATTAAGCACTTGTAGAGATGCAACATTTGTCTCTCTTGCTACCCAAGTTGATGACGTGTCAGCTTTTGAGATAGCTGGTTGCTTTTTTGGAGTTCAAGGCCTCAGTAACATTCCATGTAAGTAAAGATTTATAAAATTCTACATTGTGAGTGGATTATAGATATTTATATGATTCTGTTTTTTTTTTCTATCTTTTTGTAGTTTTGGGATCTTCTCCTCCTACATTTCCACCTGAATCATCTCCAACCCCATTTGCTGCAAGCCCTAGTCAATTATCTTTGACCACACCGAATTTACCAAAACGCCATTCCTATCATCTCTCACTGGTTCCTGGTATTGGTATTGGTGTTATAGCACTTGCCACTTTGATGCTTGTACTAATGATTTTCCTTATTCGTGGGAAAACTAAAGAACTTGAATCCGATAAATCTTCAATGAGAACATTTTCTCAACCAATGAGAAAGTTCCAAGAATGCCCTTCGTCCATGTTCAAAAAGTTTAGCTATAAGGAAACTAAAAGGGCAACTAATAATTTCGGTACCCTTATTGGACAAGGAGGATTTGGTAGTGTATACAAAGCTCAATTTAATGATGGATTATTATTAGCAGTGAAACGTATGGATAAAGTTTCAAAACAAGCTGTTGAAGAATTTTGTAAAGAAATTGAGCTTCTTGCAAGACTTCATCATCGACATCTTGTTTCCTTAAAAGGATTTTGCATTGAAAAACATGAAAGGTCAGTTGTTTGTAAAATAAAACTAGTTTGTTTTATAGATGTTGTAAATGAATAGTTTTGTAAATATTGCTTTCTTGTTTTTGTAGGTTTCTTATGTATGAATATATGGCAAATGGGAGCTTAAAGGATCATCTTCATAGTATGCACATCTTTAAATAGATTTCTTGTGCTAATTACAGAAATACCATTATTTATCCATTTGAATTTTCCTTATTCCAATAAAACCATAAAAGCTACAAACATTTTTACAATTCAACAATTTTGACCTAATATTATTACAAGTCAAAATGGTTGATTTGGAAAAAATAATGTATTAATTGTTAAATTGCAAAAACAGTCATTTTTTTTTTTTTATCTTTTATGTAATTTGCCAAGATTTCTTTAATTCTTATTTTTCTTTTTCTGAATTTGTTATGCTTGTGTGTAGCTCCAGGTGTCCCTCCGCTGAGCTGGCAGACAAGAATTCAAATCGCAATCGATGTGGCAAATGCTTTGGTAATAATAATAAATAATAATAACATAAAAGAACTTTAACATTTATATGGAAATGTATTTTTTTTTTTTTTTTGGTATTCTGATTTATAATTTTGTATTCAGGAATACCTCCATTTCTACTGTGATCCTCCTTTGTGCCATAGAGACATAAAGTCTAGCAATATATTACTTGATGAGAATTTTGTAGGAAAGGTACAATATGCTTTAATTAATCTATTTATTAAAATTTTAAAAAATAATTCAAAGTTTCATATTCTGATATTTGTGATCCAGGTGGCAGATTTTGGGCTTGCATATGCTTCTAAAGACGGATCCATTTGTTTTGAACCAGTCAACACAGATATCCAAGGAACTCCTGGTTAGAAAAATAAATAAATTCCAAAATTTACTTATTCACAATAAACAATAATATTTAAAAATAAATAAACTCCAAAATTTCATTTAATTTACATATCGAATTACAAAATTGATCCTTATGCTTTCCGATTTTACCATGTAGTAGTCTAAACCTTTATTACTGAATTTACACATAACATTTTCTGATTCCGATTCCGATTCCGATTCAGGTTACATGGACCCGGAATACGCGATAACACAAGAACTGACTGAAAAAAGCGACATCTACAGCTACGGTGTTGTGCTTCTGGAATTAGTAACCTCAAAAGAAGCGATACATGAAAACCGAAACCTAGTGGAACTATGCCAACCCCATATGAGATTGGAATCACGATTCATGGAACTGGTGGATCCCGGAATCGGTGATTCCTTCGACACAGACCAACTGGAAACTATTGTAAGAATCATAAAATGGTGCACGCAAAAAGAAGGGAGGGGTAGGCCTTCGATTAAGCAAGTGTTGAGGCTTTTATATGAGTGTGCGGACCCCATGCATAATGGGTTTGTTGAAGCGGTGGAGGATGAGAGAGGGAGAGGGAAAGGGAATAGGAGAGAGAAAGATGGGAATGGGAATGGGATTAGTTGGGATGGGAGGGGTTTGGCGAGTTCTTCTAGCACTTCAAGGTCGTATTGTAGTAGGAGTTTTTTGCTTGAGACTACTGGATCATATTCATCTCCTCCTCAATCTCCTTCCAATATGTCTTCCATTTAACTTCATATATACATTCGATTTAAGTTTCTACATGTACATACACACTATCATCATCATCATCATCATCATCGTTGCTACTGGGTTTTTTTTTTTTAATGTTGCTATTGCTAAGAAGTAACTACTCTGAGACAGATATTCTAAACAAGGATATAACAAGTTGGGTATTTGGGATTAGTTTAGAGAGATTTTGTGTATTAAAATTTCCTTCCAACTATATTGTTTTTTATTCATTCATTTATATTTTGTTTTTACTTTTAGTTTTGTGTAGTAATATAATCTTATATATTATTTACAATCACATGAGTTCAATCATATGGATAAATGATAAATGTCTTAAAAATATTATTAATTTTATTAAAATGTGACACTTAACCATTTCATATGAGTATGAAAATAAGTAGAAAGAAAAGTCGATATTTAATTTCTCTTATCAATATCAATTATGTGCCACTCTTATAGAAAAACATCATTTGCATAAAACATGTGGGATATCCGATAATCAACTTGCGAGCCATTGTATCTTCAATACCAAAATGTAACCTATCCATAGCTAAATAAATAAAAACAGAGATAAGTATAAAATCCCTAGTTGATGAAAAACACTTTACAATCTAGTTTCACAATTTGTGACCATCTGCGAACCTTTGTAGAAAAAAAGATGACCAAACGTCTGTAGTCTGCAAGAAAACTGTTTGCTTTTTAAAATTTGAAGATTTCTGAAATAAATTGAAATTTAAATAAACCGGTTTTATAAATATAAAAATAAATTTCAACTCCGAAATTTAAATAATTATAGTCTAACAACATTGAAATAAAATAACAATGGCAATCCAAAACCCGTTTAGTAAATGTATGTTTACTAATTTTATACTTTTTTTAAACCTTTTTAATTACTATTTGATACTAATTTAGAAGCCTTATAAAAATTACAATCTAATGAAGCTGAAATAAATATAAGTAAAAAAGTTTTAAAATGTTGGACGTTATAAAAACTATAAGTAAAAATATTTAGAAAAAACATAAGTTGTAAAGAAAAACGTTTTAATTTTTTTTAAACCTCTAAAAAAATTATTTTCTTAAACACTTTAAATAACATTTCAAACTTCTAAAACTTTTTTATTTCGTTTTTTTTTTTTTTTCAAGCCTTTCTATGTTGTAGAAAAAGTTTAGAAAATATGTAAACTTTTTAAAAAGGCTTGTGAAAATGTTTAAATATGTTATAAATAAAGATTGTAAAAAAAAATTAAAAATATTATGTAAAAAGAAGTTTAAAATGTTATCAAAAAGTTTTAAAATGTTATAAAAAAATATCACAAACGTTAAAACAGTAATACAAAAATTGTAAAAAATCTATAAAAAGTTTGTACAAAATCTTTAAAAAAATTTAAACAAGTTGTAAAAAAAATGAAAAAAAATAATAATTTTAGGAAATTTTTCTATAAAGAAAATTCAGATCAAATATATATATATATACACCCCAATAAAAGAAATCAATCTAAAATCCTTTACCCATAAGGGAGTCGACACCTTAGAGATCAACGTAATAAACAATAAATTGCAACCATTTGGCAATTTATCATTATAAAAGAACTGCCATATAAGTAATTATCGTGTCATTCACCTTCAATTCATAATTCATGTTCATCTGGATTAACCACTTTTTCCTTGTCATCTTCACACTATTCCTCTAAAGCCTCGCCAAAATGGTCTACATAAATGGCCATTTTCTCACCATAAAGGTACAAAATTTATATAAAAGTTGCATAATCCATTTCATTTTTAATGCATAGAGGCCAGAATAAAGTGAGTGGTTCATTAATGACACAATAGTAAAGCTTTTCATGTGGTTCTTGCATGAAGCGTTTGAGCAATGTAACATACACACACATAAAGCCGAAGGGATAACATACACATATCATGGAAGTTAATATCAACTTTGAGATACACAACATTTTGTTATACTTATATTTGACATTCTACATACAAAGATTTTCGATTAAAACACAATAATGTTATTCTCAAACAACTAAATGTGAATAAAGGATTCGAGAAAACTTGGGATTATATCAACTACTTCGAAAAAAACCCTAACTAGAGATCTCTTTCTTCTTTGAAGATGTTTGTAAGTTTGTATAGATACATGAGAATGATTAGTAAACTACAAATCTACAAATTCTTTTAAGAAGATATACAAATACAACAACTATAATGATACAAAATGTTATGATCAAAGCATAACTTGAAGAAAAAAAAAATCTCTCACATAACCAAACCATATTCACATAAAAAGTAGTCCCTAGGGTTCTTCAATCATCAACCTCCGAAATAACAACCAACTTTTGGAAACATCAAATCAAATCCATGAAAACATTTTGATGTTTGACTTGTAATCCATAATCACATGAGAATTAAAAGAACACGTGGCATTTCTCTTTTGATCCATCTTTTCTTCACACACAAATCCACTAGGGTTCTTGAATCATCACCCTCACATGCCATGTGGCAATTCTTCTTCAAATCCATTGCAAAGAAAACAGTTTCTCAATCATGGGTTTTTCACAAAAGTTGTAAAAACCACACCTTTTGTTTAAATTTCCAAAAATACCCTTAGCAACCAGCAGCCACCAAGAACTTCTTTTTACTCACGGGTTCCTCAAGCAACACAACAACATCATCCAACTTCTCAAACAACTCCTCAAGTTCACTAACACCAAATCTCCTATAATCCAATTCTCTCTTATACCTTTGTTGATAAATCGCCTCAAAACACCCCAAAAAAATCCTACACGAATAACTCACCAAAATCTCCTGTAACTCAAACCTAAACTTATCCAAACTCTCATCTTCTTCTTCTTCCAAAACTACCCTTTCCTCATCCGAAAACTCATCAGAAGACACCACACCCTCTTCCCTACCCTTCCCTTTCCTATCATTCTTGGGTAAACATTTCCTCAAATACACAAACTTCCTCTGCCCTTTTCCTTCAACCAAAATCTTATCCCCCATTTTCTTCAAAAGATTCACAAGTTTCAAAGTTCCATACTCAGAAACATAAAGAGGCCTCCCAAAACTTTTCTGATATTCACCTGGAAGCCTCCCCAGAGGCAAACACCCACCGAAAGATTCTAGAAGCTTCATTAGTTGACCGGTCAAACCTACCAAATCCCCAGGCTGGACCCACATCTGTTCATAAGAACCAACATGTGGTAGACTATAAGATCTTGATGTTGTGGTGTTGTATTCGGATACCATGTTTGTATTATAATAGCTTTGTGAGATTCCTCTGTACACAATTGCCTCTTCTTCATTTTGAAAATCTGAATTTTCAGTTATTTGGCATCCCATTAAGAAGGTGGAGACATCACGGGTGGGGGGTAGGGGTAGGGGTAGGGTACGTGAGGTAGGGGGGAGGGGGACAAAACCTTCTCCACGAACTACACTAGGCCAATCCCAAACAAAACTACCAGCATTACTTAAAGCAGAGGAAACACCAACACCAGATGGAATCACAAGAATGACAGTGTATCCACGTTGACCAAGAATGTGTAGAGCAGGAGAAAAGTCAACATCACCTGAGATTAACATGATGGAAGAAGGAGGAGGGTTGTCTAAAGCAAAGAGAAACATGTCTACAAGAATAGCTTTATCAGCTGCATCTTTTCTTCCGTTTGGAACATCTATGAGCTTCACGCCTGTTCTTTGACAGCCTTCTCTTAGTCTTCTAGGAAAGGCGTTGAAGTCGCCGTATGCAGAAAACATGGTGACAGCTCCGGTGATTATAGGGTGGAGGCGTAAGGCCATGCGGATGTTTCCGGCGACATCTTCAGGGCGGATGTCGCTAGGGACAGGGCAGTTTTCCATGTCCCAGAGTATGGCGATTGGACCATCTGATTGGTTGGTTGAAATTGGAGAATAGTTTGTGTTTTGCATTGAGAAGTGTGATTGTTCCATGGATCCTGATGATAGAATGAATGCTGATGTGTTTGTGTTAGCCATTAATAGTACCTGTTTGTTGTAGAAAAGAAACTTATTAGCTTCTTTGAAGTTCACATTCGTGTAGATTGTAATTAGGTGAATCGAATTTAAAATGGATATTTAGTGAGGTTTTTGCACAATTGGTTTGGCGTTCAAGTGGAACAAACGTACGTCGATGACATAAGAATCAATCGTATTAACACAGGTGAAATCCGATACTCAACCAAGCTAAAGGATCTTAACCTCAGCACTACGACAATCGAATTGACAAAGATGAATTGGAATAAAGATTCGAGCATCAAATTAAACAAGGAAATCATTCTAAAACGATAAACCACGACCTAAATAGATTATAATTGAAAGAAATACGAAACCAGGAAGACAATTAACAGAATCAATAGATCTGCAGCTGCGGAAATGAACGAATTGAATAGCGGATTAAAGATTCAATGATTTACAATGTTTATAAGAATCAAAAACCCATGTAGAGGGAGAGATTTATTTACCTTGGCGAAAGTAGAAAGGTGTTCTTGGGAGTGAAATTTTGATTCTGAAACGTAATAGCGAGAAGGGTTGTTTTTTTCACCAAAATCTGGTATTTTAGGGGAAAATGAAAATGCTTAACGTGGACCGATCAAGACAATAAATTGAGGTCGCCTTCTACACGGCCCCATTGTGTCTTAACAAAATCAAAATGGATATACGGATGAGTAGATAACTATCAATTACAAATGATGAAGCTTATAAAACTTTATGTATGTTTTATGCTTAAATCTTAATAAAAAATCAAATAAATTATAAGCTAGTATTTTTTTTTTTTTTTTTTTTTTTTAATATCTTATATTGTAGCTGTTAAAGAATTTTGAAAAGTTTTAGTTTTTAATTTATAAGAAAAAGACTTGAAGAGTTTTTTTTTTTTAATAAAAACTTCAAACTTTTATGTTAAACAATTTTTTTTTATTGAAAAGTCGCTTAAAATAGCATTTAATAAAATAAAATATGTCGGCATATTATAACAAATTTAAAGGATTACCTTTAAAAATATTATTTAGATATTTATCTTTTTTTAACATATCATATGTAATTTTATACATTGCAAAAGTTCTACATTATTTTTGTTGAACACATATATCAGTAAAAACTAAAAACTAAACATTTTAACTTAGAAGATGTACTTTTGTCAAACATGCATTTGTTATATTTAGAGTGAATTACGTGTTTAGTCCACGAGGTTTGCTATTCGTAATATTTAGGGTTCGAGCAAAACTGAACCGAAACAAAAAAAAAAAAACAAAAAAAATAAATAAAAATAACGAGATAACCAAAACTAAAAAACCAAAACCAAAGCAATAACCGATGGTTTATGTTTGAATTTTACAAAAACCGAAAAATAACGATTTGGTTTGGTTTTGACAGATAAAACCGCCCATAAAAACCGAACCGACCCACATATATATTATTTATTATGTCTTAAACTTTTAGTTTTAGACTTTAGACTTTATCTCTTTAATACTTTATGCTTATTTTCAACAAACTGTTAATGGTGTTAAACTTCAATTTTTTGAACACTTTTATGTTTTTAGAATATTAGAATCCGTACTCTTTATTTTAGTATATTTAAAGTAGATACAATACTATTTATCGCAACGTACTTTCACTGAGTTTGAACCAAAAAACTAGAAAAAAAAAGTAGGAGCTCATAAACCCACAGATTAAAACCGAAAACCCATAAACCCATCTCGAAAAACCGAAAAAACAGAACCATGCAAAAACCGAACCTATATGGGTTTAAAAACAGAAAAACTGATTTTTGATGGTTTGGTACGTTTTTGCCAAAAACCGACTCATGCTCATCCTTAGTAATATTTGTAGTCTACAATATAGATATGTTATACATTTGGTCTTTATGTAACATCCCAAAAATTACAAATATAATTTTTTTAAATAGATTAGCCAATTAAACCTTTACTTCAAAAACCATTGAATAACATTTGATTGATTGAAAACCATACATTATCAAAATTAAGTTTACAGAAACGTGGAAACGAATATCTTGATGCAAGTGTACAATCATGTCGAGCTCTTCTCACGAACGACCTCCAAAATGTTTTGTCTACAACTGTAAGCATAAATCTTAATGAGTTTCCCAATATATCACATATTCAGCTATACATACAATGCATCCACATACAATCCTCGACTCTAGCATCAAGCAACCAAAACTCCTATCCACATACATAAATCATACGTAATGGGCCCACCCCAAGAGTTTGTGGACCCAACCCAAATCCTATAACGGGCCCCGCCCAAACATACATAATGGGCCCCACCTAAGGAGTAAACGAGCCAGCCTAGACTCCTTTGTCGGGAGCTACATCCTGATCTTTCGTACTATTGCCAAAGGCTAAATCCTATTCTTCTATACAATGTCAAAGCCATACATAGTCGGCACCAGATAGACATTCGAACAAACGATCCACCCAAAAGCAATAAATCAGACAAGAACCATACAGTCGGGCATTACACCAAAAGTTCTTAGGCTATCCAAATTGACTACATACAATCTGTTATGGTAAATATTCAAGAACAAACCAATACTATTAATACCCTAACCAATTATGACACCTAGCAGAATAATATTAACCTCATACAAGACTCTATTAGGCTAGCATACCGTGATACTAAGTATCCTAATTGCATAAGCATAGCAAAGAATTAACCTAGTTAAACGTTGACTTTTATATATATATATATATATATATATATATATATATATATATATATATATATATATATATATAAAAGCTTTGTTTATTTTTATTTTTTCGAAATTTCTTTATTTGTGTTCATTATTTACGTAATTATTATTTGATTAACAAATATTAATAACTATGGCTTATTTAAAAAAATATAATTGTAAAGATATTAAAATCGAAGGAATACAACTATTTAAACGTAGACAATAAAATATATAAAAATACATGAACCGACAGTCAAACCGGTCACTAGACCGATCCAACTAAAAACTGGTTTTTAAAACATTGATATATATATATATATATATAATATATATATATATATATATATATATATATATATATGCTATTATTATTTTAAATATATTTAAAATTTATAATTACTTGTAGATGTGTTAATGGGTCCACTTTGAAAGAGAGTTTGCACTAATATGAATAGTAATCGCAAAGCTAATGTGATACAATTGAAAGATTAATGGCATTGCATTGATGTAAATGACGTTAAAGTAATTGTCAATGTTCTAAATTAATAAAAGAGACCTTTTAATTATACTAGTCACTCTTACATTCTTTTCTTCCAAAATGTTAAATTACTTCTTTATCCCCGCCTCCTTTACAGTATCCATTTCATCATTATTCATTGATTGCAATTGATATGCTATTCATTGCAACTGATATGTTGGATATGTCGTGTTAATATATATTACAAATTTTGAATTTTGAATTTGAATTTGGAATTTCCAGTTCTTATTAATTAAAATGATTGCAATTTAATCCCCTTAAATGAGGAATCAATCACGGATCTAAACTCATTAATTTAGCATAGATAGGCTCTCCAACGTTGTGAGTTTTTATTTTCCTCCTCCTTTGCCTACCTCATGGAAGAAGTTAGGGTTAGTTCCACCGCATCTCATTCTTTTCACGTCACCATCGATTCTGAATGTAAGATTTCATCGCCTATATTTTTTCCATCCATGATAGTTTACAAAATCCTAAACGATGCACATTGATAAAGACACGAGCGTTGGTTGCGGTTAGGGCATATTTTATGCAACTTCTACTATTACAATTGTTGTTTGCATAAATTGACCCAATATTTCTATGTCGTAAACCATTCAAGGATATACGAAAAGCTTGGACATTTAATAAATCAAATGATGCATTCTTAGGGTTTGCTGGGACAATTTAGGGTTTAATGACGTTGATTATAACCTTAATTTTTTTTTTTAGTTCTTGATGTCTGATTAAATGTAACTGGTTTATAGTTTCTTTGGCTATAGCAAGGGAAGAGATTCATAATTAATTTGCTGAAAGATTTAATTGTCAACCATTTGGTTTTACTTTTTTAAGTGATTTTCTTGGCATGAAGAACCCATATAATATTCTTCATTTTATATATTTACTACTACCTCCATTCCAAATTGATCGTCCATTTTGACTTTTGAAGTCTTTTTTCTTTAATTTTGATCTTAATTATTTTTATTGTTGATAGATAATACTTAATGTAAAATATATGAATTAATTGTATTTTAAATGTTTTTGCATTGTTATAAGTTTTATCAAATAATATATAACACACATAAAAATATTGAAGGTCAAAGTTGAAGAAAAAAGACTTCAAAAATCAAAAGTGGACTATCAGTTTGGGACGAAGGAAGTATTTTATTAAACCCACATACCCAATTTAAATTAAATTGCAAGAAATTTAAATCTTCTTACGATTATGTGCTTATATTCAAATAAATATATATTAATTTTATATAATCAAATATAAATTTTTTTAAAAAACTTTAATTTTTTAAATTTAATAAAAAAAAATTAAATTGTTTACCCGTTGAAACCACACATTGTAAATCGGTCCATTAAAATAAAAACCAGAAATATAACCCCACCGAAGTATTGTACTACCGGATCATAACTTCATCACAAACCAAAGCTATCAATAAAAGCTACATAAAAATATACCTGGAACAATTTTTTACTGTTAAATAAAATATAATTGGTAGAATATGTTTTAGTGTTTATGCTATTTTTTAGGTTATTTTTATCAATTCGATATAAGAGATATAAAAGATGAAAGATGTATTAACTATCAAGTGTTGATGATGTTTTTGGAGGACTCAATGCTATATCTCATCTTAAGGTCGTGAAACTTTTATCTATTGTGTAGTTCTATAAATCATATACAAGTACAAGATCCCAATTGTTATTTTTGTTAATAATAAACACTTGTTTGAAAACAACCACTAAAGTGTTTAGTGAACT